GGGGCCAGGAGGTGCTCGCGGCAAGAAATCATGACGGATGTTCAGAGAATATGATGCTTAAGCTTGGACGAGGGAAACAAACAAGTTGGCGATGGTGATGGAAACCTAGCGGTCACGAGAGGTTGGGGTATGGCACGACTGCACGGCAAAAAATTCGAAGACTCCAAAGAGAGAGAAAGAGGAGATAGTACAGATGAAGAGAGAGATAAGAACCAGAAAGACAACGATACATAGAGAGAGACATACAGACAAGACAGACAGAGACAGAGGAAGGCAGCGGACTCATGGCGGGCGTAGAGAGTACACGAGAGGAGAAATCAAAACGACAGACCCAGGAAAAAAGAAAAAAAGGTCCCGCACAGTACCTGTCTGAAGCAGTCGACCGTGTTCTTGTACTTGGCCGCGTCGACCCCCTGCATCCTCGTCTTCACCACGTCGAAAGGGTTGTTTCCCAGCGTGCTGAAGCAGCCGGCGGACATGCCGCCCAAGAGGTTCTCGACGTCAGACAGCGGTCGCGCTCCGTCGTTGCTGATGATCCCCTTGTACTTGTTGAACCACATGAATCGGAGTCCCTATGTTGCACCGACGACGGGAGGGGGGCGTCGAGGGTGGCGTGGACGGAGCAAATGTCGGGTTGTAGATATTAAGCCGCTCAACGACAACCCTCTCTGCACAAAAAAAAAAACACTCCGCGGCGGCCCGAGCTGTTCAAACATTCACCCCCGTGATAAACACGGCACGTCAGCTCATGCGGCCCGTGGGCAACAGCAAGCGGTGAGCGGGATATATTGCTTGCCAACCAGGCAGTGAGTGGGGCGTGAGGTGCCGCGGCCTTTAGCGTGCGCAACAGCGCAAGTATTCCAAGCAGGGTTTCAGAGTTGGGCCGACAAAAGCGAGGACAACGTGAAAGGTCTCAGTCCCGTACAACTCATTGAGGTCGTGGTACACGTCATCTACATCATAAACATGCACCGATAATGAGAAGAAAAATACAACAACACCATCACGACATCAGCATCCGAGACAACCGCACCAACACCAACCGCACTACCCCTGCCTTCCGCCTAAACTCTCGCACCCCCCCACCACAAAGCACCAACCGACCCAAACACAACCAAATATGCACGCACCTGGTTGGAGCCCTGCTTGGCGATGGTAGCCCACACACCCTGGTACAGTCCGGCGGGCCCCTCGTTCTTGAGGATGGTCCTGACCCCCTGCATGAAGGGGGCATTGGTCTGGATCGCCTTTGTCTTAACGGTCTCGATGGGCGTCACCGCGAAGATGGCCTCCAGCACCCCCGCCCCGAAGCCCGCCAGGAACTGCTCCCCGGAGGAGAGCTTCTTGTTCTCCTTGCCCGCGAGGATCTGCGTGGCGGTCATCGTCGTCGTCGTCATCGTGACACAGTATGTCGGTGCACCACAGAGCGTGAAAGACACGGCAACGACGCGGGAGCGGCCGTACTTACGGGTGGGAACACAAGCCAACATGGTTTCGATTTTTAAATTATGATACTAATATGATACAACTGGACCCATTTTGGCTGAGCTCCCTGAGGTTTTTCTCGCTCAACCTCCAGCATCTGACAGGCTAGCGGTAAATGTTGATTCCGTCAACAAATCGACGCTCTGTTGGCCAAGCAAGGTGGGACTAAAAAATAGGCGGAGTGCTCTTGATTGTTGGCGCTCGACCTGCTGCACGGATTTCGTTAAGTGTTCGTCTCACGCTCGCCCGAATCTGGGCGCTGGTCCGGTTGACACGCTGCAGAACATGAAAACCGCCAAAGATAACGGCTTTCAACCTTCCAAGAGGAGGACGCGAACAAAAAAAATATATATACATATATATATATACAAGCCGCATTTTCCTTTTGACAACTCCACACCACAACCATCCGATAAATACAACCCGACGGCTCCCGTCTGCCATCACGTCTGCTGCGCTAAATGTGACGAGGGTATTGCTCAACGATGACCGCAGCCGACGAGCGTCACAAAGAGCGGGGAAGAGACTAAATAACAAACCTTCTTGAGCTCCGAGTTACCCCCGAACCGGATGCCGGCCTTGGGCATCGAGCCCAGGAGGGTCGGCGCCAGCCCTCGGTAGAGCGAGAAGAACCCCGTTGTCCGCACGGTGTACGTGAGCCCGCTCACCACCCCGGTGTACTTGGGCTTCTGGCCCGCCGGCAGCTTGTCCTGTGGACACGAGCCGCGTCATGAGGGCCGCGAGAGAGAAGGGCAAAAGGAGGTGGTACGGTGTGTTCGTGCGTGTCCGGATATTCAGTCGTTGGGTATATCTGCCGCACGTTTTTGTGCTGCACAGATGGCAGAGACTACTAGTACCAGCATGATACACGGGGGGGCTTCTTGATTGCTGTGCTGGCACGCCAGCACTCCCTCTTGACGCCGCGCCCTGGCACGGGCATGGTCTCCTCTTGTAAAGTTAATTGCACCACTCAAACAAGTCTACTTGATGAGTTTGCGGTAGGGCTGCAAACACGCTGTTGTTGTTGTTGTTGTTGTTGTTGTTGATGGTGTTGATAGTGTTGGCGTGTGGCGCGCGAGGCAAGGAAGACAAACGAAGCAGAGACTGCGTCAAAAGCAACGCCGGCGCTAACCACAACGGGCAGGAGTGCGGGAATACTGCAACACAACCACAGGCGTATGACGCCTCCCCCCTCCCTTCCTTCTTAGTGCTGAAACACGGAGTCGCACGCGCATCGACAGCTAAAACAAGGACAACTCCGCAGGGTCATCGTACTCACCGCAAGCTGGAGCTGGGTCTGTTGCAGCGGGATAGCCCAGTACACCAGGAGCAGTGACACCGAGCCAGGGAAGGCGAGGAGCAGCAGTAGCAGCAGCAGCAGCAGCACATCAGCCCAAGCCAACCACGAAGCATCAAAAACGCGCGATTCGATCGATCCCAGCAACAAGACGAGAACGTGTTCGCACGCGCGGAAGCAGCATGTGTCTTGTGAATCTGTTTGGCGGGCATGTGCCGCAACGCTCGGACAAAGGTAAATATGCATACAAGTACACAATTTTGCCTACTTGGGAAGGAAAATTGGTACAGTCCAAGTATATGTTGGTCAAGGTAGGGTGGAAGGCACGTGGGCAAGCCGAGAGACACGGGATACTCTGTACGACCACGCATCATCCTACTGGTGTACGGCAGCAGCTATCGCTAGTATGCATAGCACCATCAAGTCGTCGTGGTGGGCCGATCGTCACTTTGTTCCTCCGCCATCCCAACAAGTAAATAAGCCAAACATGCGGAGTAATTAATCCATTCGCAGGTGTCTGTGTAGCCTTCACTGGTGCCGCTTCATTGGAGGCGGCATTGCAAATCTCCCTCCAAGTTACGTCTAGACCATTGCTGTAGCACAACTGCACTCGGCAGTATCAAAACCTGCACACACTTTCAGGAGTGGTCCTAAATGTTTTTTTACCCTGTCCTGAGCATACATGCAAGTGAACAACTTTCACTTAGCTTGTATGCATAAGTTCTCCGTGTTCGGTGCACTGCTCCAATAACATCAAAACATGTGCGATAACGGTACACTTTGTGTATCTACGCTGTACAGATGCACTTTCGATGTTGAAAGCCTTGTCTACTGATGCTTTGTAAGTTTACTGCGCGATTAATGTTGCAGTACCTTTGTGTGCCGCCACACAGGTTAATGCGAGCAAACTTCGAAAAAGGAAAAAAAAAAAACGATTGTGTCGTTCTTCCCTCTATAGCTGGAAACCGTGCATCGCGCTCGCACGCCACAGCAGCGGCAGCAGTAATTTGGTTGGGCATAAATCGCTGGCTGCTGCCTCGAAACGCTGCGGCGGTGGCGCACCCATTTAGTCTAGTACTTGCAAGTTCGAGGATTGTTCAAATCCAATTTCTTTCGGGTAAAAACGAAGATAATCCAACAAGAAGCATTAATATGAACCGCACGAATCGTCGACCCCTGCTGTACGCCGCCGCACACGTCCGTTTTTGCCGGAAAATGCTGTGCCCGGTGTACGTTGCCATTACAAAACAGATGATGACCGTGTGATGCTGCAGTAGTCGATGCGATGGGTCGACAACCACACCAACACGTTTTTTTCTCGGCAAATTGCTGTCTGTCTAGACTACTCGTGCAAGTGGTCATCACTTGCCTTGACGTATTCAAGCGGCCACACACACATGGCTTCCACGGCTCCAGCGATGCATCCGGAAGTCAGGGACACCACCGGGTTCGAGCTTTTCTTAGACATGTTGGCCGGGGCTTCTTCTAGTTAGGTGCGGGAACAACGCGCCTCCTGGAATTTATGCTGCACGCAATACGAAGTTCGGGTGTCACCGTGGTGCGTGACGGATGGATGAGTTGGATCTCGGTTGGTACAGCAGAGACAAGGCAGGAACCCAAGCTTGCGGGGAAGGAGGGCGAGGCTAGGTTGCTTCAACTTGGCATCGACAGGGAGCGCAAAGCTGCTGCTGCTGTTGATGCTGGCTTGCCGAAGGCGACACCTTTTACACGCACCGGAACGCCGCACACAAACACGCCGCAAGGCCATGTATGCACCGGACACCCAACACCACTACCTTCTCTGGTACCTTGTCGTGGTGACGAGAACTCTGGTCCACTACTCACCCTCGTCGCAGCCCTGGACAAGATCAAATCTCTCTCCCGGTGTGTTGGTGGGTGTGGTGGTCTAGCAGTGGGAATTCGATTGCAGCAGAGCCGGGTTGCAATTGTGTGAAAAGGAGGACGGGTGACGACAAGTGACGACGTGTGGGGGTGCCGTGCATGAAAACGAAACAACACCGAGAAGGCGGGGGGGTCTATAATACGAAGCGTAACTACAGATAGCCGATTGTAGCGTTAAGAACTTCGCAGATATTAACAAATCGAGACTCGAACAAATCAGCAAAGAACTTGAGCACCATTTGTGAGCAACCCCTAGAATAAAACCTATACATATGTGGCGATTACAAGAAGATGATCAGCAATATAAGAACCCCAGCCTCGACCGAAACTAACGGGCGCCATCTGTATAGATGATCCACGAGCACAGTCAACGGACGGACGTCGGTGTCAGATCATCATATCTGCCAAATCCAGCGCACGCCTAGCTAGCGCTCCTCGACCCGCAGCCGACGAAGAGGCCTAACCCCTCCGAGAGACCCTTTGATCGATCGGTCCTTTTTCGCTCATCATGATTCCACAAGGAGAACGCATCTGTGCGTGTATGTGTCGGCGTACCGCAGTAGTAGTCTAGAGGTACCCACATTGATCTTCTCGCATCATGTCCCCCGCTTTCGAGAGGGCTGCTCTCAGGTTGTCATGATCCTGCTGAGAAAGGTGAACATGCCGATAGTGGTTGAGGACGGTATTTACTTCCCTGCCCTCACTTGTAGGGCATACCTGGTTTACCGAGAGATTCCACAGACAGGCGGACACTCTGTGAAAAGCCGTGATGCTGTGAAGATTGGTCCTCATCATGAAGGCCGGCGCAGAGACGTCCAAGCGGAGCCGCCTCACCAGACTGGTCCCAAAGTACTGCAGTACACAGAAGAAGCTGTAGCCGATCGCGTCCAACGCCGATCGTCGTTCGCGTCGTCTACCTCGACAAAAGGAAGGGCTCTCTCCTCATCGTGTCCTCTTGAGGTGGTGTCGCGAACCCACCGTTGTCATCTTTGCTGTTCATCTCTGTCTTCCGCGACATAAGTCGGGACTGGGGGGTGGAATATTTGGAAAAAGAGAACACACAGATATTAATTAAGGAGAAATGAATACACGCACAGAAAGTCTACCCATTCGAGATATACCCACAGTCGAACGGGATGTGGTGGAGTCTTTTCAGTAAGTGGAGGAAAACCGACTGGGTACTGGACTTATTTCGAGTCTTTATAAGTCTATACACTGATGATTTATCAGTGATGCCAGCTGGTGCTAAGCACAAAAACATCTGTATAGGTAAATCTACATTTTACAATACATCCCCTGTAGTTCTCTACTGGGTCAACGACAAAATATCGTTTTAGTCCAAATGTCTCACCTTCGCCTGTGAGACCACGTGTCCTCGTAAATGTATAGACTAGGCAGGGAGGACTGCATTGTTCATTTATGCGTTCTGCTGTCGGAGTGGCATCATGGGAGCAACACAGCAGCAGCAGCTGCAGCAGCGGGAACCGCGGTTGGTTCGGTTCGACTACGAATACTGGTACATGCAAAGGTGGCGGTGGTTGGTTCTCGAAGGAGCCGTCCGTGTGAAAGGGCCAGAGTTACCGAACGCTTCGTCTGGCACAGACCAAGAAACACCAAATAATCTGGCGTTTTGAAACAGAAATTACTTTTCGCCCAACAAGTACGATGTATTCAGACGTTATTTTGCCTTGTGAGCAGCAAGAGGCGCTTGCTTCATAGACTGCACCACACTCAAAGAGGCAGACAAATGTGTGTCACCACCGTAGAACTGTACCTCACAAAGAACATGTTATACATAATATCACCACACGTACGACTCAACCTTCGCGTGAAAAAACAGCGCTTGAATGTGGCGGGACATTCAACGGAAGGATCGCGTCGAACTTCTGCTTCAGGGCGGGCCGCAGCTTCCCAACTGGCAACTACCGCAACATTGCTGGGCCAAGGCACCGTGATATCGCAAAACCTACCGCCGGCACCGCGCGAAGTGTGCCTAAAAACGTTCCAAACCTTCACTCGCGCGCATATATTTGAGTAGCACGCTAGCCCGCTGGATGAAAATTACACAAGTCCCGTCTGTCAAAGAAAACAACCGTCTTAAACCGAACCTATCTTGGAGCACAACGCAACACGTAGCCATTGAGAGAGACCGACGGCTCCTAAGGAGCTACGTCAGCACAACCAGACGGGCACCACAGCTGCAATGGAAGCTCACCCACACCCACGCCACCTGCGGTCGTTTTTTTTTTTTGACGAGCGTTTGCCACGTAGCACGTAAACCAAGACGCAGAAATATTCGTTTTTGGATGCCATCCGTGATTTTTCGCCAAAAAAGAGTTCCCGACCGAAGGTTTACCTACCCAAGGAACGCGAAAAGTTATCGAAATCTCGTCCTGCGACAGCAGCAGAGAAAGCCTAGCCTAACCACACACTAGTATCACCAAGAGATCGTAGAGACGCAAGACGAAAACGATTGTACTGCACAGCTGTACAATTATAACCGGAAAAACAACACATCGTGGCGACGCACAGAGAGGCCGGCCACCCACGTGTGGAACACGAAAAAAACACCAAGAGAATGAAAAACCAAGGCACGCGAGGGGTATGGCGACAATGTATGAAAAGCAAGGAGAAGCAGCTTGTACGCCCTCGACTGCAACAAGACAGCAGTAGGCGAAAATGCGCCCTGCACAACTACGTTGGCGGATCTTGGCTGGCATGCCAGCATGTACTGTAGCACGATGTCGACAAACGTAAAAAATAAGCAGCACACCTGCCATCCCGTGTGATGGAAAACTTATGTATATTGCTGACAGCACACGCCGCTTTCGCATGGAGCTAGCGCCACGGCTACAACTTCGAGCATCCCGCTACAGCAAGCCAGGGGCAAAGGAAAAACTCGACGCCAATCCTCTGCAGAATCCCTCCTGGACGACCAATCAATATATGCTCCTAGCGCGCTAGCCTACGCGTGCCGCTGCCGCCACCCCTTCTCGCACCGCCGCCGCCGCCGCCACGTGTCTCTCGTCCGCTAGTAGCGGCGGCGGACCCGGCCGCCTCGCCGCCAGCGGAAGCGGTGACGGCGCTGCTTGCTCCCCTGGTGTCGGGCGGGGATGCCGCCTTCCGCCCCTTGAGCTCGGAAGGGTCTCTACCCTTGGCGTTGGCTGCTGATAAGGCTGAGAACCCGCCGCTGTCGTCGTTGTTGTTGTACTGCCGCGACCCTGCCCCGCTTCCGCCGCCGCCGCCGCCGCCGCCGCCGCCGCCGCCGCCGTTTCGACCGGCGGAGCTCTTGGAGAAGATAACCTTGGCGAAGAAGCCCTTCTTCTTGCCATTGACGGGCCCGCCTGTCCCCGTCGCTCCCCCGCCGCCGCCACCGCCGCCGACGCCGTCCGCCCGAGGGGTGAGGATCTCCGTGTTGATCAGAGCGTCTAGGGCGGCGGGCTGCAAGGGGGACACCACCGCCGCGTTGGCGTTCCTGCCCACCCGGGAAGAAGGGTCGTTCTTGTTCCCCCCGCCCGAGGACGGGTCTACTCCGACCACTGAGAGGCCGGCCGCCGTTGGTTCATTCACCGCCATAGTAGTAACGGCGCCAGCGCTAGCGCTAGCGCCAGGGGCCGAAGAAGAGGTGGCGTTTCGGACGGCAGCGGCGGGGGACGCGGCGGTGCCGCCCCCGCCGCCAACAGAGGCGGCGACGGCCTTGCCGCGGTAGGAGGGGCTGCTGCGGAGGGATGAAGACTCGAGCGACGGCGACGCGGTGCCTGCTTCTTCCTGCTGGCTCTCCATTGCCGCGCTCGTGCCGCCGCTACCGCTGTTGTCTCCCTGAGGGAGGCAAGGTGAAGTAGCACCAGGGCGGGCGGGGGTGGGGCAAGGAGTTTGACGCGTGCGTCGGGCGTTTTCACGATACGCCTCTTGTCGAACCGAGGTATTTTAATCGGATATGACGGGGCAACAACTGGTGGTGACTGGTGCCGTTGTCAGCATAAGAGTGCCAAAGGTGGGAAGTGAGACCCGCATCCCCGCAGCTTCTACCCGAAGCGAGAACGTGCGACGCTCATCTATCGCATCGCATCGCATCACATCGCATCTACAAGCTCAATCAATGTCCACACATTTTTGTTGCTTGGCTGCATGAACAGGTTCAAGAAGGAATAAAAAAACGTCGCGGCCTAGTTTTACAGGTTTTGTTAACGACCATACCGAAAGGACTAGCTGCTCTGCCCGAGGAAAAACACAACTCACTGCAGCGTCTTTGAATAGAAGAAGACGACGCAGTGTACCCCTTACTTAAGCAACCGGCTCTTCTCACCACCGTCAACAAAATTGCCATCGGCTGTAAATATACCCCGTATTCCCCCCCTCCGTCACCGCCAATGTACCTTTTTTCTCCCAAAGTCTGCCCCGTCCACCTGCAGCGGCGGCAGCGGCGGCGGCATCGTCGGCCGCGCCCAGAGCTTCAGCAACCCATCGGCGCAGAGCGTCACCACCCCGGCCCTCACCACCATCACCTGGCTCAGCGGCACCTGCGCCAGGCGCTTGCAGCACAGGGGCTCCCCCCGGGGGGTCAACTGCCTGCTGAGAGCCGGGTACACGTGGCCCGCGCCGCCGCCGCTCCCTCTTCCCTCGTCCTCCTTCCCTCTCCCTTCTCCCTCTTCGGCGGCCTCTCGTTGCGCCGCCCCGGCGCCGCCGCCGCCCTTACCGCGCCTGCCCCCGCCGCCGGTGCCCGCCGCCGCCGGGTTGCCGCCGGAGCTCGCTGCTCGACTCCCCCGCGCGGCGCCCCCGAAAAAGAGAGCCCCCCGCGACGGCAAGCTCAGCGGTGCCCGCCCCCCGCCCCCACCCCCGCCCGTTGTTGCGGCGCCGCCTACGACGGCGGAGGCAGCGGAGCCGCNAAAAGAGAGCCCCCCGCGACGGCAAGCTCAGCGGTGCCCGCCCCCCGCCCCCACCCCCGCCCGTTGTTGCGGCGCCGCCTACGACGGCGGTGGCAGCGGAGCCGCTGCCGCCGCGTCCCAGCCTGGCTAAGCCCCCGCCGAGCACCGGCCAGGTGCTGTCTCCTCGCAACGGCTCGTCCGGGGGTAGCGATGATGGCTGATATTATCATCGACGCCGTGTGTGCGGTAGCAGGTTTTAAATGGCGAAACCGTCATTTGTGTGTGACATGGAGGGGGGTATGGGGGACACGCGGCGCGGAGGGGGGGGTCAGAGGTACGCTACAGCTTCTCGCTGGGTGAAATCAGGAAGCACTCGCACCCACGCTGTACGCTTGGATCTTCGGTGTTTGGCTGTGGAAAACCTTTTTCCTAGGACATCGACCGCACATGGGGAGTGCTGCTGTGTAGCTGCCCCCCCCAACGAGATCACCTCCGTCAAGACCAAAACCCGCACGCACACACCGAGCCTTGACTGTTCTCTCACCGCTCCGACCGCTCCGGCCGCCTCTGCGTCGTCTTCTTCCCCGCCGCCATCGCCATCCCGCGGAGACGACCGTCCTTCCGGAACCCCCGTCGAGACCGGCAGCCCGACACCTTCGCCGCCAGCGGCACCGCCTCTGCGGCTAAGGTTCTTAGAAGAAGCCTCGGCGAGGCTATGGGAGAGGGCGAGGCTCTCCGAGGACTTAGACCGCTGTCGGCTGAGATTTTCGGACGACTTGTACCTGTGCTGGAAGCCGGGCGGAGGCGGGGGGGTGGCGCGAAGCCTCCCCCCGCCGCCGCCGGCCCCGTGGAGCAGGGACCCCGCCATTTCATCGTGCTCCCACCTTTTGTGGGAAAGGAGAAAAGACGGCCGGCAACACATGGAAAGAGAGAGGAAGAGCGGGGCGGGGTGAGGAAACTCCGAGTAGATGCCAACCCAATCCGTTGAGCTCTCTTTACATCGCAGGGCCGGGAGGTCAGGCGGGGGGGGGGGGGGGGGGGGGG